GACGTTTGCATATTGTCAAGAATTAAAACGTAGACACACTTTTTCTTTTAAATTCTTCTTAAAAAATGAATTATAATATTAAAAATAATACAAATGTTGTAAAAAAATTGTTGTGATGAAAATGAACACTTAAAGAAAAATTAGAAAAACGCATAACGTATCAAATGTAAGAACAATGACAATGACGCTGTCAAGGAGCAGTGGCAGCATTGTCGCAAAACAGGAAGTCGATTATGAAGTGTAGATGTTGAAATATGTTGAAAAAACACAAACTTATTAACAAGATGGTGAAATATTTACCAAAGCTCTAAACGACTTGCAAAGTTCGCTGGCATAGATTGAAGAATTTAAAACGCATGCCGTACACAAGAATTTCTACTGAAACTCAAGACAAGATTCGACGCCGTTCGTGTTGTGTTAAGAATCAACACGACGCTTTAAAGCGCTCAGTGATATTACTGACTATATTTGAGTGAAATCGTTGAAGACGAGAAACTTCTGAGTGAAATTGGTAGTGCGGAAGAAATTCTGAAGTGACTATTCAAAACATCGAAAAGCACAAATTCGATACGAAGAGCTTCAAGGGGAAAAGTTGGAATACCAAAGAGCAAACGTTGAACATAACAGCCCCAAAGACAAGTTGTTTCCAAATTCTTAAGTGCATATAAATACTTAATTATCGTGTTTTGTTTTGTTAGTATTTTTGTTTCGTTGTATATAGGTAATTAATATAATACAAGTTTTCATTTGCGCTTCTTTTCAACCGCTTAATATACAAAGCACAAAATCGTCTCCGTGAAAATTTTATAATTAACATATAGAAAATCGCAAAACGAAGCCTGGTAAATTGTAATTAAATACTAGTGAGCGTAGGAAATATTTGCAAGTAAGACTGTTTGATCAGTATGGATTAAGCGCGATGAATTCGCCATCACAATACGACGCAAAGCCGAAATTAACATTAAGGAAAGAAGTTATTTTACGTTAGAAGATATCGTAGACTTATTGATGTCATTCAATGGTTCTGCTCGCATCGATATATGCCAGTAATTAAAAAGTGCCGAGACCGTAAACTGGAATAACTTGCAAAAATTCTTATTGTGAAATAGCTACGTAACATAATAGAAAATGCGAAGAAAAGGCTGCACAGATTTTTAATGATATGGAAACTAACGATAACATGAAAAAGAGGTAAAACACTTAAAAGAATTTCTGGGCAAGTAAGATGAAGAAGCTGATGATGTCGAATATATCAATCGTTTTGAATCATAACATTACTTAGACGAACGATTGTGTATGGCCGGTTTCTGTGGTAAAGACCACAATAAAGAAAAAGTCTGTTAGAGGAATTAAAAAATCCAATATTACACATTTAAACTAGACAGGCTGGTTGTCTTATGAAATGAATGGGCGTAATGGTTTTGAATAATAATGAAAAATTTCAAACTAAGAGGGGTTGTTTAAAAAAAAAAGATTTGTGAAAGGCTGAATCTAATAGTGAACCGTTTGGCCTTCACACTTTTTGTTTAAAGCCTGATTTACTTTTGTCGGAACTTTTTCACAAATCTTTCCAGGTTTTTGCAAAGGATCGATTGGATTGGACTAGTGGTGGCGTTTCAATTATCATATCTGCTGCAGTACCGTCGTATTCATTTGAACATTCTATTCCTGGCATTGAATTTATTGCCATTCGGGCGAAACTTGTTACTAAATAGTTATATATAATTTGCTTATATAAGCAAATGCGGATATCTCCATTTATAAGAAACATGCTGTCCTCATTTATGATATGACCGAAAAGTCTACACCTGCTGATAGCGGACTTCAATTTGCTACAAATCACTTGGCGTTATAGCGATAATTATGGCTGTATGGTTCCCGCTTCAATGTCTGACAAAGCTATTTTATTGCAAATGAATCATTTGATCGTAATTTACTTCAATACACTGTACTCTTAATTGCAATGGCAGACTGCTTGATCTGACTGCTGTGTGTAAATCACGGTCCCTTGAAATATTTTAGCGTGTCAAATCCAACTTCTCCAAATAAACATTCTGAAAAACCATTTTTAAAAAATAATACCAATATCTTACTGCTTTACTCTGATCTTTCACACACATAATGTATTAAACCTAGCTATTGCTGCATGCGTTCCGATCAAGCGGCTTCGCGTCGAAGCATGTGCTCGCCATGGTTTAACAAGAGTATTAAATATTCCGAAAATAGGAAAAACAAACTTTTCAAAAAATGTATGAAAAGTGGTTCTGCTTATGACTATTCCTCCAATTCTGCTGCAAGGCATAGATTGAATTACCTCAACACCAATGTGATTGCAGATACCTTCAGTTGATAAAGTCGTCACTGCTTGTTAATCCTAAATATTTTTGTAAGTTTGTCAATTTTAAAACAGTATATTCATATATCTTCCCAAGTTTCTTTCAATAGTTCCGAGTCTTCTGGTGATAAGAAGCGTCTCTTTGCTGAATTTCCCGCTACGCCGGGCGCCCCCAAAGCAGCCGCTTTTGTTTAATTTATATATTAATGATCTCCCCTAGCTGATTAAATCCGGGCAGATCTTAATGTACGTTGACGATGTTAAACTGTTTTCGTACTTTCCTTGGAATCGCAATCGTAGCCACTTCAAATTGATTTAAATAACTTGGTTATATGGTGGTCGTTGAATTTTATGAAATTAAATCTAAAAAAATGCACAAAGCTTTCTTTCTGAAAGAGGATGTCATTCAATACAGAGTATTTCATTGCTTCACACAAGTTGGAAAACATAGATTCATCGATTTAGGGGTTCTGTTCGACCAAATATTAAGTTTTAATTTGCACATTGCGCTTCCTTTAGGTAAAGCTAGGTCCGCGCTTGGTTTCTTTAAGCGGTGGTCCAAAGAGCTGAAGGATCCTTACGTTACAAAAAAACTTAGTTCGACCAATACCTGCGAATTCTGTGATTTTCTTCCTAAAAGTGTTATGGAGATTCAATTGAATTCGTTCAAAAGCAATTCTTTCTGTTTGCACTTAGGAAGTTGCGTTACGATCCACTTGCCTCCCTATGAGAAACGTAGATTTATTCTTGGTGTTTCCTACTTAATTCAGTTAGTTAATGGTACTATTGATTCATTCACATTACTTGGAAAGGGCTTTAATGTCTCTAACCGCTTTTCTAGCCATTCTATTTTCATTAGACTTAATTAATGTAAATATGATTATGAGCTTTTTAATCCTATCAGAATTGTTTGCAGAAACCTAAATGATGTCTATCAGCTAATCTAAATATCGGACTCTTTAAAGTCTATCAAAATAACTATACTTAATAGCGCGAATAGCCTATGTCGCATTTAAACTAACTTAACATATGATTCGAAAATTAACTGATGTAGTTTACTCTTATCGGTTGCCAATTTTTCTAGATTGTCAACGGCTTAGGGGTTCCCTTGCAACTTGGATCTGCTCCGGTGTGCCTCTTTGCTAGTTATGTACATACTTTTTTTTTTTTTTCTTTCTTATTTACTTATACATGAATTATTATTTAACGGTTATTTTATTTTGTTCTCTTTTGTTTCCTTTATATCTCCTTATATACTTTATATTAGTTTTAAATAATAATTAATATAAGATTTACTTTTAAGAGTCAGTCGAATTCGGCTGTTAATTTATTTTAGCTGAACTTCATGTGTAAATAAATAAATATAAAAATATACAAGTAACAAGGGGAAATATATTGATATGGCAAAATCAAGGGGAATGCGCAAGATTTTTTCAAAACACGACAAAAATATAGTGGCGGACGATGTATATGTATACTGCTAACGATATATAGAAGCATCAAAAGGTAGGAATATTTACTTTTTTTTTACATTTTCCTGGATCTGGGCACACATGCAGGGAAATAACGATGGGCTTCACTGTTGCCTGATCTTGAAGCGCAACCTTAGTCATAACAAAAATATCAGAAGGAATTAGGAACGTTAATTCCGGTTAACAAAAAGTAAAAAATAAGTTAAGTAAAGTAAAATAATCCGTACCAAGTCAACTAACGAGCGAGGCAATGTATTACATATTTCCGGCTAACCCTATCCGTTTCTCTAATCGCGAAATAAATTCGTTTTCTTAATTTATTTTGGTACAATGTTGTTGGAAAACTGAGGGTATATATGCAACCATACTGGCGACTTATTTAAATTTCTCGAACTATTGTTGAAAAAAGTCATGGCTTATTAACGTAAGTAAGAAAGATATATCAGGCAATAGGACGACTCATATAACTTTTAAAAAAATTATTTACATGAATCCGGTAAACGTTTACGTCGAATTGCAAATGGCTGGCGACTCTGTCTTCTAGTTTCAGTATTTTTCGCTGTTCCTTTTTTTTCCGGGAATGGACAAGTTAATATTGCGGATGCCTTTGAAAGAGCTCTGTAGAGGGGAAAAATTAAAAATTGAATAGAGTATATTAGCCATGAGGAAGTCGTAGTGGTTTAGTAACTGCCTGTGCATCCTTAGGTAGTTTTTTATGCAATGCTTTTTAATAGTGGTAATACAACTCTATGCCAACGCTTAGATCTGCGTTTTCTAGAGCCAGTAACTGATTAATTACATTATTCTAACATTGCCGATTTCAAGTCGGCATTTTTCCATCTATTATAAGCTAGAAAGGGTACAGAAAATATTATTTGATATGCAATATACACGCGATATATATGCCTGTTAACGTCTGCTGACCAAGTTCTAAAATGCCTCAAAGCAATGTCAAAAGACCTAAAATTTCAGGACGTTGCAAACAATTTGTACTTATATAGAAGATATCAATCGAAAATTAAGCATGAGTACTTACAAAAAGAAGAAAATTTTTTTCATCAATAAATGACAAAAATTTGAAAATTCAAGCATTTGTACATAATTGAGATGGGTAGTGGTGACAAAAAACTTGTCCCAAGGCAAATATTTTTTTACTTATTTACTTTTTACTTAAAATAAGTGCCTTGTCGAACCTGTAAGACTTGCTGAGGAACATCGACTCCAATGCGTTGTAAGGGAACTTTGAGATTAATTGGATTGTTATATTCAGGAGAAGCACACTCATCGACATACAATGTAGTATTCCTGGTCTTTTTGGCGTTTCCTGAAGCTGGTTTATTTGTGCTGATAGCTGACGTATTACTGAGGACTGATTGCTGCTGTTGGGACCTGATTACGTTATGCTCTTGACGATTGCACATATCAGCTGCAACTAAATGTTGAGGCTTTATTTGGAATGGCTCAATTCGCGGTTTATTTTCCTCGCGACGTTCCAGCTCTTGCTGCTGTTGTTCACGCTGCAGTTGCAATTTTAGCTGAGTACGTGAGGTAAGCGTAGCTGTTTTGAAAGTTGGTCTACAGTAAAAGAGAAAAAATCGATAGTATAATAAAGCGAAAGCAACAAACATTATGTTTATGATTTATCGAAAGAATGTATAAAAATAATCTTGTATTACAGACTTTTATATAAGATTCGGGAATACGAGATACCTGAGATGAGCCTGAGATGTGCTAAGTGCTTCTAATAAATTCAATTGAATAACTGAAATTTACGGTGCAAGCCCCTGAAATATGGCAACTTATTCCTGCCTATCTGTTAATCTGCTTGTCATGTTTCTAGCAATGACGACGTCAACTTTAAAGCTTTGCTTAAGTTAAAAATGTAACAGGGTCTGTACATGGATTTACCCACAATTGACAAAATAACAAATTTTTTTCTCTTTTCCCTAACTCTTACACCTTAAAATTTTGAAATTGATTTTAAACTATGCCTTCCTGTAGTTTAAAATCTATACTGTCCAAAAATATAATTTGAGTATTCGTTAAAAAGATGAAGTACATTTGTTATGTTACGCGATATATGCATATGTACTAATTGATTGGTAACTTATATTGAATAATTGGATATTCCTGTTTTCAAAGAAATATTTTTAATCCGGCACTTTACTTACTCTACATTGCTTATAACTTACCTTTCCTACCTGGAGTAGTGAAAGCGAACTAAAACATTTTATTTCGATCAAAGTGCCAAAAACATATCTGCATTCGTCATATAATGTAAACATTGTTCGTTTTTGTCATATAAAGTCTTATTTTTTATGAAAACTTCGGTATAACCGGAGGTTCAGAAAATAAACTATAGAATCCAAAATTACCACGACATATTTGTATGTCAAGTCATTATTTTTTAATGATTCCTGTCATAAAATTCAAAAAATCCTTGCATATGGGGTTCTTTTTCGTGAGAACATATATATGGGAGGAATTCAAAGATTGATTTCATCTCATCCAAGTTTTTTTTTTAAAGGAATTCCAGTTTTATTTTAATAATGGATATAATAATTAAAATTCTATTGAGCACTGGTTTAAGAAGCGTTAATGTAATATGGTGCCTCAATTTAGAACATCTGTTGTTTATGAACGTAATACGTACCCTCCTATTGATGGGGGCAAGTATAATGTTTTCATTTTACGCGAATTCTCTATATTGCTGATATCGTTTGAATCAATAATACTTGGATCCATTTCAAGTATCATATCTAAATCTTTATCTATTCCAACTGTTACACGTATATTAGAATTAGATTGCGAAGAATTGGGAGAGAGAGCGACATGATCCGTTACACAGGCAGGCGCTATAAAATTATTTTTGTTGTTTTCAAGCTGCTGTTTTAAGAAACCATCGTCATCCTCGCAGTCCATAAAACATGTCGGTTCAACGCCCACTTCGATTCCAATTAGGTCGGTAGTTCTAATAGCTTCCGTTAACGCCTGCATTTCTTTTAACTGTGCACTGTTATTACATCGGGCAGGCATTTCAAAAGTATTCCTCCAGTGAATCACATCTTCCTTAACATTTTCTTGAGCATTTGCCGACGGAGTAGCTGGCATCAATCCTGGTTTAATATCTGCAAGGGGCATACATGTTTTCTTGGCAGCATTAAATGTAAAATTCATAATAGACGTTGGTAAATTACTCGATGTAAGTGCTTTTATTATCGTCACAACAGCTATTATTATTATTCTTCAGCATAATTGACTTGTTTTCGTGGTTGCTTATTTTACGCCAAGATTAAAACATTTTTTTTTCCGTGGAACTGAAATATTTGTCTAAGTTTTAAGTGATCGTGACAGCTAAAAATTTGTTTTAACTATATTAAACTGTCGAAACTTCCGATTTGTTTATTAAAAAAAAAGAGTAATTGCATTAGGCTTCATAATTTTAATTTTCAAAGCTCTTTGGTATTAAAGCTGAAAATTGTAGGCATTTATACATGATGATGCTCAATCATTACTTTATCCGACACTTACTAAATGGTTTAATAAAAAAAAAACGCAATTAAGGAAAAAATAAATAGAACAAAAAATGTGATTTAACTAAATTAAACTTTTTTACGTACTAGGCGGTTTTGACAGAAAAACTTTCACACGGTATATTTAGCCCAGTGCATAAGAGCAGACACCACAATTGTATGCTAGGTACTCTCAGTAAGCTACTTGCTTTGTTAGCATTTTTTATTTGGATATGCAATTCCTATAAAGACTATCGTGATAATTGGAAAGGAAGTTTTCGGCCAAGGTTATCCATGCAATCAACATAAATTTGTGTAGATTGCACATAAAAGCGTAAGTAGCAGCAAACGTAAACCATAGAGTGTTTAAGGCTCGACTATAGCCCTACGAGTATGCTTTTAAGCACACCACGCAAAGATTGAGAACTTTTATGACGTATTATTTTGCTTGTAGCACCCTACATGTACACACATTTGTTGAAATGATTCAAATGTTTTAGTTTATCCTGTTCCTCGAATCTCTCAAATTCTGATGCTTTAAACAAAGGTTCGAATGAAATAACGTCAGTTTCGCTAACACCAGCATCCACTTTTCTTTTCATTGGAATACCTCTAATATTTAAACAGGTAAAAAATGAAGAGGAAATACTAATATTAGTTGCGAGATTATGGAAAATGTCAAAAATGGATGTGTTTGGCGCACAACCATTAACTTGGGTTAAGAAAATAAGACGTTTTATGCATAACGCAGCCAAATAGGGCATTTATGAAAGAAATAAATTTAAATTTTCTTGCGATTTCTCGAATTTAGCGCGGCACTTACGACGCTTAATATTGAATGAAAATTTGATTTAACAACATGTATATATGCGCTTTATAAAAATAAAATTTGCGTTGGCTTGTCGTTACCTCCTAAAAGACATTTTAAGTATGGACTTAGTTAATGCAAAGTGCTATATGCAGACGTTCATTGTAGAGTTTTGAAAGGAACATACAAAAAATTGGTTCAATCGACAAAGTAATGCATCAATAATTTTCAAAATATTGAGAGTGGATATAACAAGCCTTTTAATGCTGATACTTCTCTAACATTTCAATGCTTCTTTATTGAAGGATTTTTTAAAAATCTCATAATAAGCTGCAGTTTCCGTAAATATGTCATTATTCGATCCAAATATATAGGTAAAATAGTGAATATAATGGGCTTTTGATATCCTTAGGATGCTATCTTTATCTTGCAACTTAACTTTCCGATTGACTGCGAACTACTGGGCTTAGTATAACTGGTGTTTGTAAGACCAAATTATCAAAAATTGTTTTGGCGGGTGTCTATAAAACACCTTTCAAGCCGAACGATTTTCAACGATATTTTTTCCCGTGAAAAGGCCTTGTTTAATCAACACAACAAATTCGAATTTTTCCGAAAAATAGAAACGATGTCAATACTTATCAGCTCCAAGAATTGCTGACCGATGTTTCCTTTCTTTCTACAATTGCGAACATTTTCGTGAAAAATAGGTTTCTTTCGTAATTTCCTTTTTGGTTTTGTATGATGCCGTAAATACTTCAAGAACTATTGTAGTATGAATGTGGACAAATATAAATAAACAAAGTAGCAATATGTATACAATATATATCGTGCATAATCCCTGCGAAGTAGTTTAGGATACAGCGCTTTGTTATACAGGAAACTATAAGGTGTTAACAAATTCGATGCGAACAAATAATTTTGCCCATCAATGTTACTATTTAAAATTTTGGCATATATCTAATTCTGTTCCATTTATGAATGTAAATCTTGCTGTAGTAAACAAAACGCCAAGTAGGAATATACTCTTGTTTGATATGAGGAATTTTAGCCAAAGTTTAATAAGAATAACATAGCATCAAAATCAACAAATTGCGATATCTGATGTAAGTGTCAGTTTTGAAAATAAGGTCTTTTAAAATTGGTTCTTGTATGGATAAGGCTAACGGAATCTTAATTTTAGAGGATATTCCTTAGAAGGCTATCATTTTGCCATCTCGCCTTAACACCTTTTAGCCTGTGACAAAACCGACTTGAACCTCCTAAAAATTGAGTTAAAAGTTCTTACAAATTAAATGATTATTTCTCCTTAATGTAGAGGTAATTTTAATTAAATAAATTCAATATATCAAGTTTGCTAGTAATGAGCGCAAGTTTGAGAAACCAGTCAACCTCGCATTATAAGTAGGAATAGAAATAAAATCGAGGAAATCAAATCAACAAGACATATATTTGGAGATTTTTGGTGAGGGTGCAATTGTTTGAGGCATTAAATATGACATGGGGATATATTGATTTTTCATTTATTTGCAACAGTCAAAAGGAAGCTTCAGAGGTTTTACAGAGTATAAATGTTGCTGATCAGTACCAAATTCCGTTTCTCCATTTGTCCGTCTGTGTAATGTGTGTGCTAAACATTCTAATGGTCGCAAAAATGAAGATATCGAAATCAAATTTGACATTCAGAGTACTTGCACCCACACGGATATTGAAAATGGGCGAAGCAGTCAATGGACGTGCCTACAATGACGGAGGGATCTCTACTTTCCGGCTTTTTTTGCTTATTGCTTGTAAACAACGAGGGATATAGCATAAAAAGTCCCAAATGTTTTTTACTGAAATGGATAAATTCAATCATATCTACTCAATATTATAGAGTACCGAAAATTAAATTTTTTTGTTGGTGAATATAATTGGCTTTTTTTATTTATCATAAATTATTTGTGACAGTCAATCTTTTGTTAATAAATTATGTTTAGTTTAATTTATCGAAAATCTCCTACATACATTTCTCTGAATATTACTCTAAACATATTGTAAAAGACTCAAACGAGAAAAATGGTAGTTGTCAAAATTATGCTGCGTCCCTTTTCGAAAAATCGTGTTTTTAGAAAAACGCGTTTAAAGTTATGGAATGTGTTATACACATGTTCTGGTTGCTATAATAAATTTGTTCTTCATTTTTACCTTCAGTCTTTAGTCGCAAAACCAAAAATTTTTCTTCTGTTTTCAAATATTCGCACCCATTATCTTTTTTGAAGGATTTTAATTTTAATGTGCCGATTTAACTGAATAATTAACATCAAAATCTTTCACTATATATTTTAATTTCCTGTCGGAAATGCTGAATTAATCCGAACCGCCTCCAGGCTCATATACATATAGCGACCATATTAATGAAGGTACACTGAGGTATTTTTAGTATGTATCAAAGAAGTCACAAGTCAACAAGTAAGGCTGCAATATTCTAGCAGGGCTCCATTGGCCCAAGATACCATTTTCCGACCGCTTCATTAGAAATCTTTAAATTCCAAACAAAGAATTTTTCAAGCAGACAAAATTTTTTCCATACAGTCTGGAAGTTTCGGAGAATTTATTAAGCAAATAAAAAAAATATTTTCTGAAAAATTACTCTCCCATAAGATTTAAAGACAAAAGCTATCTTAATAATAAAACAGGTTTATTGATAAATTATAATCGGTTAGATGTTCATATATATGATTATTTCCATTTACATTCATGTGTATAAATTTACAACTCTTAATTTGTTACTAATTAATCAAATTAATCTAAACCTAGTTGTATCCTTTGTGTTACCTAAAAATATGTTTTTTTCTTATTTTAACGTCGCTACAACCTAATTCTTAAATGACATCGATGAAATTGCAGCTAAAGTATTTACATTCTATACCACTGGTGGTACAAGATATATTAAGTTTGTGCGCATGCAAAAAAATATCCAGAACTAATTAAGATACATCCACCTTTTAATGTACCGATAAGTTTGTCTGTCTGCTTATCTGTCTATCTATCCAATGTTCGTCCAAGTAATTTTATATTTAACTTAAAGATTGAAATTTTACGGATAATTTCACAAAATTTGTTGCACTGGTATGTTCGCTCAGAGGTAACCCACGTGTCATTGTAAAGCTAATTAGTTCGGCAGTAATTAGGATGATTCACTTTTTATCAAATAACACGAAAAAATATCGCCTTAGAAACCTTTGATCCAAAAATTTTTGTGAGAGAAGTTAGGTCTTTAGACCGCTAAACCTACTTTCTTATAATTGGAAGATAAATAACTCACCACCTCTTTAATAAAATAAAAAAGACTGAGTTATCAGGATTTATTAGTATTAATAGAAATAAATGAACTTAATTTTTTACGTAATCTTTAAAATTAAAAGATAAATTTCGACGTTGGAAAAAATAATGTTACAATAACATACGGAATAATAATAAAAGAAATACGCATTAACTTAGAACATAAGAATAAGAAATGCAAAAAGAGAAAACAAAAACAATGGAAAGGGTAATGATGTATTGAAGATTGTGTACGGCTGTTTTCATTGGTAATTGATTGCTGTTTAAGTTAAGATGACGTTACGATTAACATTTATACATATACAGTCCGTTCTCTTCTCTCTTACAAATCGTCAAATCGTTTGCATGTACAGTGAGTCTCATTAATATTGGGTTTCCCACAGAAGAAAACTTATAACAAACTTTGTATGCAGTTTTTTATCTTCTTATCTTTCCTGATATGATAAAACCCCAATATTAATGACGCTACATTTTTCGAGTGGTTAAAATTATTTAATTTTCTTTACCTATTTAAATAATGTTTTGTTTGTTTTTTTTTTTTTTTCCTATTTTAATATGTATTCCCTAGTAGTAAACAGTAAAACAGTAAAACAGTAAACACTAAATAAATAGTGAAATAAATTTTTATGTTTCGACAATGGAGTATGTTTAACGAACGTTTGTTGTTTCTCAAGCGAAAAAAACCAATATTAATTAGATTCACTCTAGTTTTTTTTTTTATAATTCGACGTACACGTTAGATATGATATATAAGATTTGTCGCCATTTTTATACCCATCATCAAAGGATGACACATATATTCATATTATCAAAAGATTTCCAACACCCGCAAACAACCTTCAGGGACCCCACAAAGTATACATATTCTTGATCAGCGTCAAATTCTGCATCGATTTACGTATGTGCGTCCGTCTGTCCGTCCATCTCTGTAACGTCTGTGACATTCTTATGGCCGCAAAAATGAAAATTTCGGCTTCAAATTTGGTGGAAACACTGGTTACAGTACAACCTAAACTGAAAACACCTACGCTTTTCAAAAGGATTAAAAAATTGGTTTTTTGCTTATTACTCATAAACACTTCTGCAGATTAGTCTACAAAAATCTTAACGTACATACTATGGGTGGTGCTGCAGTACCTCCTGCACTGTTAACACATATCGTGCATATCGTATGTATCTATTGAAGTATGTAAGAAATAAAAATAAATGTAGACAGAAGAAAAATAAGAACATGTGACACATGTGACAAAAGTATTGAATTGTAATCTGATTAAATAACATGAATAAAGAATGCAATTACGAAAGGCATTATATCTTTCATTTATAATAATTTGTGCTGACTTAAAATTAATATTGGATAGAAGCTAAGAAAAAAAAAAAAGAAAAAAAGATGAGCAATATCTTAAATAAATGATCATTGAACGAATGGGGAATGATGCGATAATACCGCAGAGAAAATCGTTACTCATTGTTTAATTTGAATTAAGCATAGATAGGGATGGTGTCTTGCCCAGCTTACCTTGGAAATTGCAGAAGCAACCAGACTTGAAAGAAATACAATGATTTCGGTAGGACGAACTCCAATGCTATTCCTAGTTGCTTTTTTAGGAAGACCACGCCTATTTAAAGTAATAGTGTCTCAAAATGTAATCATTTTTGAATACCTTTATAACCCCATAAAGTATATAAATCTTCAAAAACCCCATAAAGTATATAAATTCTTTGCCAGTTTCAAATATCGATTTCACGTGATTGCGCCTTTGCGCCTGTCCATATGTCCAACTATCTAGTATACATAGTTAACATTCTGACGTTCCCAAAAACGAAGATATCGCCTATAAATTTGCAAGAGCATTTGATAATGACCCGACCTTTTTAAAGAACACGCTTACCACGCTCGTCCCTATATAAAACACAAACCGTGAACACCTTTGCTTTCCGTATTTTTTGCATGTTGCTCATGAAGTATACCACATACACTGTATAAAATTGTACTCTCATTCTGAAAATAGAAAAATTCAGCCATTTCCTTTTTTAAGTCGTTTTCAGGAAATACTGGAAGCGATCCGGGTACAACCAAATATAATTTTCTAACTCGCTATTGTTCGCATTATATAATTTTTGGGATTTTTCCCTATACTTTTTTTCTGGATTGCTCTTATACAGTTCCCTTTTCTTTTCATGAATCTCTTAACAGACTTTGGTGTTTATTCGCAGACTGCAGTAGACGTTCTTTATGTGTTCACAGCGTATGCATATAATTTACTAATATGATTTACTATATATACTTACGTTATTCTATATTCCAATTTGCTGCAATTTGGACGACAGCATTTCGTTTCTTTTATGTTTACAAAAAAACGGTGTTCAATTAATGGCTAACTTAGAGCAGAAGTAACTTATAGATAAAGATAGCATTGTCAAATGGTAATGTTTTCCATTTTCGCTTTCATTACATATGGAAGCAATACCCACCACCATTTTTGCCGTTTCACAACTTAAAAAAAAAAAAAGCACAAGAGTCCCTTGCAACCACGTGTGTTCTAAAATTACACCCCAAAATTTTTTATGCTTATATTACGAACAATGAAGATTTTCATATACTTTCAACGTTGCCGTTTAAACAAACTTTCAAACGTCGAATTTTATTAAAATCTCAAATGATCTCTCGTTTAATATTTTCGTTCTTTCTTATAAAAACGTAACCATTACTCGTCATCTACCCAAAAACCAAAAGCCAAAAAAAAAGCTTTTTATCACGCATCACTAACTTCGATCATTAGAACTACCGAAAATCGTCATAGAATTTAGCAAACAAATATAGGTTTACAAATATAACATATTTTTAAAAGTCTGTCTGTCTGATCTCCAATCACATAATGATTGTTACAAGCTTTCATCCCATTGCAGATTGTTCTTTCACAAAATCTGCCTGAATATTTTGGCCTTGTTAGTTATTAGGCTAAGCGGACGTAGGGGACCAAAGAGGTAAATTATGATAGACAATACGGTACGCTAGGTTGCTACTAGCCTAGGAGAAAACAAAAAATTTTAAATACTGGTTTTTAGGATGCCAAACAAGATTTAAAGATTTAGTTACGTTAATTGTATAACGAAATTTGAGCAACTGTTCACAATCTGATTGTGAAACATTAGGTAAAATTGCTTGATCGTTTAAGCAAAATATTCGAATTATGAAACTAAAGCTCTTAGTTTTACTTTAATTGCTTGACTAATGGAACTAACACCAGAGATTAAGTCATCAACGTAAAAATCTCGTCTTACAACTTCAGAAGCCAACGCAAAAGAGCTCCTTCCATCAATCGAAGGGTGTTGCAAAGCACGAACCGCTAAAAGGCTGCTGACCTATGTGGCAGTTTGTAGATTTCGATGTCATCATGTGTGTTATGTTTCCAAAAAATGCCCTGTCAATAATCATCTAGCTGAGAAACCGTTAGATACCGGTACATGTTGTGAGTATCACCGCTCAAAGCTATGTTGAATGTGTGATGTAAATGTTTGTTTATAGCTTTGCTTGGATTAAGGGATCGGAGTGAAATGTTATTTAATGAAAAATGGGAAGCGGTATCAATTTGGTTTTTGTGGCGTCTTGCTTTAGTAAACAACCATGTGGTTTGTGATGGGTGTTGATATTTGGGGGGGATGTGACCATCGACACGTGATTCAGTTCTATTTCGTTCATAAACGCTGTGTAATGCCTTTCGATTTCTCTTCCTAACGATTAAACCGCTGAAAAGCACACTCGCAAAAATTTCCAAGTACTTGGGTTTCTATTACTTTTGGAACGCTTAGCATCTGAATAATGCAATTTGTTGATATTAAAAGTATTGCTCACAAATGACATCTTCACTGGTCGAAAGACCACATTCGTTAAGGTTACTTTCAACTTCGCAGAAAAATATAAATAGCTTATCCAAATTTTCTTCTTAATGCTCGGTATGTTTATCTCTTGTTGCCAATAGCCATGAATTAGAAATTGGAAATCGATCATCAGACACCATCAATCCCAGTAGGGATTTTTCGAAGTGGATAAATTTGCTAAGCGAGCTTGGCCAGCACACTTTAAATCGAAAAAGAGACTACTGTCAATTAAAATGCCTATACGGTCTGGTTTGTGAAGTAACCGCACGTTTTGCTGTATATTCCAACTGTTTACATTGGAGCTGATAGCACTAGTCTGAGGACTTGTTATAGCTGGTACGATGAAAGCTGATATTGAAACTGAATAATGTCCACATTTCGATTGTGTTTCGATTTTATCTGCAACGAAAGTATCATCTGAATGAGATTCGAATATTAAGAAAGAAATAAAAATGAAGTAACGAGGATCATAAAGGCGTTAGAGAACGAGTACCGCAGATTTGAGGAAGACTCTGCGTCTATCGTTGTAATGACTGCAGGGTCACTCGTAATAGCTTTGGTGGTGCGGTCGTTCTTGGCGATTGGGTTAGATAAAGTACGGCCATTAATAATAATGTAAAAAACGTACATTTGTAATTTTTTTCAGGCCGCCGAAATACCATACTAGCCCGCATTCAAAGCTGCATCCTAAGAGTTTCGTCTTACTATTGTTTTTATGCGCTTTTTCTGTGATCATTTGCATTGCTCTTCCTCTAGTTTACGTTTTTTACGTAAACCTTCAAAAAACTTTATTCAGTTTGATGAAAATGTTTAGTTTAAAGATTGATTTCGCTTATCGTTTGGCATTTAATATCCGTGCCATATTGTTTACTTCTTTAAAAAAAGTCAACACAAAATAATAGAAACACAAATAATTGAAAATTTTTTAATTAAACAAAATCACTTTTATAAACTTAGAATATAAATGTTCAATGCTTTAACGAACCTTTATATCGCACCATTACACCATAAAATATTTTAGTAATTTTCTCTTTGTGCCACAGATTTTTTTAATTTAAATTTAAATCAATTCAAATTTAATTTTTCTTCTCTCTCGGCAATTTTTCTTTTTTTATAAGACATTCTTTATTTTACGCACGCGCTTGTTTGCTGTTGCACATTTTGCCCCTGACTTTCTCTCTTGTTATTTTAAAAGAGTAACGCAGCAAAGCCGGACACAAATAAAAAAATTTATTGTTTTTGATCAGAACAATATTGGCAAAACCACAATTTTTATTAAAACTTGCAATTAACTTTTGGGAAAATTATTTAAAACTGTTTGTTTTTTCACTAATTTTATTTATGGAAGCTTTTTTTATGTCCATATTTCCCTGATGCAAAATAAATTAATCTCTCAAACATTCCGCTTCTCTCTCCTAAACGAAAAAACGTCATTATCAAAAAATCCTCCTTATAATTAAAGATAGTCATTGAATTTAACAAAGAGCTGCAAATGTAACAAATGTTACATAGAATCTATGATTGATTTTTGTGGGAAAAATTATTCTCTCCTAAAATTGTGAAGAAATCTAGGAATGTCAGAGACAACATCAGGTTTCAATTAGTTTTATATATTATTTTATCCCAAAAATATAACCTTTTTATATCTACCTGCAATATATGATCAATGATGTTATTATTGCGAATTGAGCAAGATTTTCGCTAATAAGAATCTGTTGCTGTTTTATCCAATTAGTTTTATGCTTAGAAATAGGGTCAGTTGTGATTAGCAAATCAAAGGTTGGTATTCGGAACTATAAAAATTTCAATGTGAAGAGTTAAAATTTCCGTTTTATGATTGATCGAAACTCCTGCTTGTTGGGATTGTCGGTAAGGAATGGGCGTCATAAGGAAAAATTGATATTGACATTAGCAATCGCCGACCAATTGCTCTTTTCAAAACTCTTTTTTTCCCTTCTCCGAAAATAGCTCGATTTTGTCTATATATTTAAACTCTCTGCTGGTAGGTTGTTCCAAACGCGAGTTTTGATTAAGGAATAATAAGTCGGGGTAACGTGTCTTGCGATATACAATCAGTTCCAGGCTTAGTGGGTGGGAAAGCTGAGGAAGTCTTGTAGTCGTATTAAAGTTAGGTAGTTTTGGACTCTCTTCCGTCTCCCATGAGCATCTAAGCTGTTCCCTGTATGAAATCAAGTGTCCACTTAGAGGCTTCCGCCCACACGAAAGTTATGCTCTGATTTTGGCCGGATATGTGCGGTGCATATGGCACGCATGTCATTTGCAGCGTATTACTTTTGCACCGCTTCAAACAACCTACGCCCTTGACTGTATTTTTCGACAAACCGAATGTGTTTTGTCCGGCGAACATCATTTTGTATGCTCATGACCAGAACAGTGCAATCATTTCGGCGATTAGATCATCTTCTCGTACTCCGTCGGATGCCTTTAAGATATATAATGCAATAACTTTAGTTTCGTCTAAATGGCGAATTGCTCGGTTCCGTTTCTGAGATACGGCATTAAGTCGCCATTGGAAGAATATGGCGAAAGCAATATTGTCTATCACAAATGAGATCATTACAGTCCAGATTTCTTACTAGATGGTAGTTGACCACGGATTTTATGGTTTTGGTTATTGTAAAATATATTGTAATTGGGCGGTCATCAGGAAGATATGTAGAGTTACTCTTCTTGGGTACAGGTTGGGCATTGGCAGTCTTCTTGTAAGCTGTAAAAATGGCATTGTGATAACACTTATTGAACAAAATGCGTAATGCCTTGGTGTGGACACTTGTTTGAGACTATGGTCCTGATGCTATGTGGCTCAGTATTGAGACTGGCAAGAACTTTTTTAACAGCGCTAGTCCGAAAAAATAGAGTACGCATCGAGCATCGTACATTTTCGAGGTGGGGAAGTGGTGGATCGTTATCTAATAAATGAGCGTCCGAAGCAAACACTTGAGCTAATATATTAGCTTATCAACTGGGTCCGATATTATTTACTCGTCCCTGAAAAGACTGGGAATTGATGCATCTAATTTGCTTGTGAATTCCTTCCACGAGCGTTCGAAAGCTATTGCTGCTTTTTGGAGATGCAGCAGCTGCTCGTGCAAACATTTTCGCGGCGTAGTAGGTGTTTGCAAGTATTTCTAGATACTTTGCGAAGCAGATTAGTTTGGTTGTTTGGCGTAAAACCCCCAGCTTTAGATGCTTCTTTTCTCGACCTGACTATGTCTCCGTTAGTCTGATTAAACCAACTTTAAACGTATGCGAAATTTTCCTGAATGGAATGTAAGTCCGCATTCCATGTTTTATTGTTTTTTGTATCACTTCTGCAGCGGCGGTGACGTCATTACTTAAGAACCACAGTTTACAATTACAATGTCTAAGAACATTATTGAGCTCTGCTCAATTTGCGTTATCGTATTTGAAATAATCACTTTTCGGTACTTGGGAGGAAAAAAGCCGAAGGATACAAATGTTACAGTGGTCCGAGTTTCGGTGGGGTGCAAGGATCTTAACTTTGTATTTTGTTGTAACTCATCCACGCTTAGGATTTATAAGCTTCGCCTTGGCGCATTTATAAGCTGCATTAAGAAGTTTTCAATCAAGAAGTTTTCAGTCCATGTATTGAATTTTTTTCAGAAGTGTATGGGTGAAATGGCGCAGCCAATTTTAATTGTTGACAGCAGCCACGATTTCGCTGTCAGGGTAACGGTTAAGAGTGGAGGATATTTTTTTGGATAGAATGTCAAAGCCATTAGAGCTAACCATCCTATTCGCATTTGGGCTTCTATAAACGAACCGCAAGTACGCAGTGTGTGGCCGGATAACGAACTTCACTCGTAGAGAATTTGGCATCCTCTATGCTGCAAACCGGTAAGTGTTATACTTTTAACGGGTGACCGTACACCATAGATGTCTGGGCCGTAACCAATTTACAACGCATTGGGATTGGGAGTGTGGGAATAGAATGGTATCGTATTTCTACTGTGGGGAGAATGTAAAAGCCTTGGATGACTGTTTACAATTTTAATTTCTATAGATATTATTTTAGGTGCTGCTTTTGTTGTTTCGTCTATGGTTACTGTGATTGTTGTTATTGATGTTGCTGCTTATTGTGTTGTTCTGTTTTTGTACTATTTTATTATTACCGTTGTTGTTGTTTTTGCTGCTGCTATTCTTGTTTTGTTTGTTTCGTTACTTATTATTTTTTGTTACTATTGTTGTCGTCATTATTAATGTTACTGGTACCGGCAGTATTGGTTTATTTGACAATTGTTATTGGATTTGTCATTTATTTTATCGCTGTCAGAATTATATGAATTGTTTTGAATCTATTTCGCTTTTTGATGAGAAATGTCAGTTTCATGTACCAAGTTTTGGTGCATGGCTTCTTTCTTCCCACTACAATTTTCCTGTTATTGGAGATCGTACTTTGCATTTTTCCGAGTTTCTATTTTCCGTATTTGCTTTTGATATGTTTAGTTCTGAAACTTTTGATTTTTATTATTGTTTACAATTGGTTTGTTTTTTTGGGACTTCAATACTTATGTTTCGCAGTTTAAACAAAAAGAAGAGAAGAAGAATACTGTTTTAACATAAAAAATACAATAGACACAAGGAAAAATACGTCAAACGTCTTGATTGTATCCCGAAGCGCTAATGTAATTTAAAATATATTTTCAAATCAATCATGGCAGTGGAAGACGCACGTTTGCTTAGTATAAGTTGTGGGTACGATTTAGCCTAGGTTTTTATTGACGCAGTGATAATAATAAAAATTTTATTTCATATACTTACATGTATCTGATTGCCTACTTTACATTCAATTTTCTATACCAACACTCCTACTAAACTGAATTAGTAATTCTGAACATTCTTAATGTCCCTTTAACGGCACTACTTTAGTCATTACATCCGCCACCATCGTTCTTCAGATTTTCAAGTATTAGTTTCATTGCATCCAACAATGGTTTCACAAAGTGATGCCGTATGCCGCTGGCTTTTAAGCGGACATGGCAAGTCACGTTGTGTATCAAGAGTAGACCGCTTCTGCTACCGCATTTGATTATCGCCTTCTTTTCTAGGCTTAATTGTGTTAACAAACTATTCAACCATCACGACGGTTGTGTACCAGCGGCCAAAGCCATGTATCCCGTCTCAGTGATAAAAAGAACTACAGTTGTTTTTTTTTCGACATCCGTACTACTAGGCCTCCCTGGGATTTAAAAACACCGTCAGTGGTGAACTTTCTATCCAAATCCCAGGGACTATTGCTAAATTGCAGTTTGTGGCGGCTTGTCGCTTTCAGACTTCTTAAAATTGTCACAGAAATTTTGCAATGAGTTTTTTCAGGGTTGCTGTTATTTTGTGATGAAGCATACTGCATATCAAATGTCGAGGAGGCTTATTTGAGTAGCATATGAAATTCTACCAATTACTTCTTGATTTGCTGCAGTCAGATTCCTATTACTTACAATTTTTGATAACTTTTGGTTGGAATCCATTGATGTAAATACAGACTTGCACGTGTCCATGTTGAATCTTTTCAGCAACTTTTTAATATATAGTTCTTGATGCATCCAGAGCATAGCTGCTTTAGTGTTTCTTGTCGTCCTCATACCGAAACTCGTTTGAGCAATGTCCTTTATTTTTAATTTGTGGCAAAGATTTTCTTAATGTACTCTATGCTCTTCTTGTTGTTTGTACATATGAGTATATCACCCACGTAAATTGGCATGGCGATATCTCTTTCTCATATCTCGCAGTTAATAAAACGTTCGGGTTTACTTTACTGAAGACCAATTTTCTTAAGCACACGTTCAAATTTCTTGTTTTAAATTTTACTAGCCTGTTTTAGACTGTACAAAGAATTCTCCTCTTTCTCATCTCCCAGTCATTGTACCTTCGTAAAGCCTTCATGCTTTTTAACATCAGTTCTGAATTCGTCAAACTTGCTCACGAATTTCCCTCTACTTTTGATGAAGTAGACAAAAGTTTTGCGTGATTAATCATCTAAAAAATTAATATATGTCGTGAACTGCCAATCGACATTATTT